CACGGTAAAGTCATTTTGTGTATTATTTGAAGCTGTCATTGCAAGAGTTCGTTGATGCTATCAGCAATGACTTCCTTTACCAGCCATCCGACGAGACTGTGCACGGCATATGAAACATCTGACACACTGTACAGACTTTCATTTTATTGCACCAGATTACAACAAAGTATTGGGAACAAGCGAGATAGAATCAGATTATTCTAAAACAGTCATAATCTAGTAAAATAAATTAAATTCCAAATTGCTCCTATTCTTATAGAGTTAGTCATCTTCTATCCAATCAAATAAGCAAACAATGATTTTTCTGTCCTTTATACTTCTATTTTTACTCATTTTGTACAATTGAGAGCTGCACGTTAACTATTGGAATGATGTAAAATGCAGACTGCATCCTATTGTTTTTACACCATAAACTTAGCCTCAACTCGCATAACATGCCCTACAGAACGTGTACATGAAAATAAAAGGGAGCAGAGGGGGAGGGCATTTTGCATTCTAATCAAAGAACAGTCATCCAGGTTTAGCAGATTGATTGGTTTCTTAGATAAGTCTAACTGTATAACTATCATCAGCATAACTGAAATTGTATGCCATGCTGTTTAATAATGTTACCTAATGCTGGAAGCAGGTGTAAGATGAACAGAATCGGTCCACAGAAACGATGTGACTCTCCCTGGTGTGGAAGGAACGTTCCTCATTACATGCAAAAACTGGAATTTAAATTATAGGCTAACAAACTCCATTTGAATCCCAGTAACCTGTTTGTTGAGTCGGTGTTAGAGTAATGGAATGCGGGGATTGTTCATGTGAAAGCAACACTGGGATCCAACAGATCACATGCAAATTTCCAAGCCCCCCCCTTGTGAACAGGTTGTTATTGTTTTGTCTGTCGGCTTTGCCCCATCAGGGGTCGGTTTTTGTTACGCTGGCTGTCTTTCCTGACCCAGCCCATGCTTTTATCAAGGCTGGGGACCTTCTCAAACAGGACACAGAACACCAAATCCCATTTGAGGCTGCGTCAGGTACTGAACCCCAGGCAAATCGGGGTTCAGTACCCGGCCCAGAGAAACCTCAGCATGTAGCCTGGCATCGAACCGCTAACCCTCCCATCAGCAGGCAGACCTCTTACCTCTTACCTAGCGAGAAGAAAGCATTTTCAAATTCTGGAACAAAAAGCACCGCCTCTGTGTCTGACAGTGGTTTCAGCTCACATAAACATAGGCTGAGAATCAAGTGGTCCTTTTGTAAAGGTTAATGTAGACTAGCTAACTCTGCATGAAAAACATGTAGGGTGGAAAATCTGCAGGAGCTTAAATGGTGCAAGTGAGCCCTCGTTGTTCAGTCAAATTCAAATCAATCATTTTCACCATTTCCCAAACATAGATTAGATTACGGCAGTATTATTAAAACTAAGAATACTGCCGTAATCTAGTAGTATTGAAAACAATGCTAGATTTGTTTAGTAAAAATAATACTAGATAAATATGCGGGAGATGATGACTATAAGTGGAAACCAGCTGAAAAATGGTTAAAAAACTAAAGTGTGGCATGGAGTAGGGTGTAGCAGACAGCTTTAGAGGTCTAGAGTTTTTGAGGTCTCCAGCACTGGATCGGGGGGGTTGTTTTAGCTGCTGATAATGGGACATATAACACCAGAAGGTTACACTGATGAACTCTCAGTAACAATAAGGCCCAGGCCTCACAGCCAGAAGCTCATCTGAGGTGCAGATGCCTCCTTTTCAGTAACTTGTCCAGGACTCTATCCTCTGTTGTGAGTCAGTTGTGTAATCGTCCTTTTCTGTTTCCTCTGCGTTGGCTCTTTCTACCCAGGTGGTTTTAAATCTTAGCAGAGGGCTCTTAGAGCAGCCATGTGTCCCTATCAGGTCCTCATGCTCCTCCATTTTATCCAACACTAATCCCACAGTCCCATCACGGTCAGCTGAAGAAAGGGTCCATGCCCCTTTATCCTTTTTGGAATAATGTTCAGATTTCCAACGCACAGAAACAAAAGCCCAGGAGAAAATCTTAAGAAGATTGACAGGAAGTGGCAGTACTACTGATTGTAGGGCTGGAATAGCCCCGCCTACAAAAGGCCTGTCATGTTTCCACAAATGTGAACGGCAGCCTGGCACCATCCTATTATTAAGGTTTAAGAGATTTTCTTCATGCTGTATATTCACTACAGTTTTGTGCTAATGTCTGGTCCATCGATTCGATAATCAGGGTTTCGGTTCTCAATCTGAATGTTATTATTTCTAATAATATTCCATAACTCTCTCTCTGTCTTTATTGTTCATGTTTAATACTAAATGTTTCTACATTTCATTTAATATTACCAAATCAGTGTGTCCAGCTCATTGGGAGCTATTGCTAATAATGCATATTATTAATTGTTATTGTTCGTATTATTATTTCTCTCAGCGTTGCTGGTGCATCAGAAAGCTCGAATGGAGAGGCTGTGGCATGAGTTGGAGTTAAAGAAGAAGAAGTTGGAGAAGCTAAAAGAGGAGGTGAATGAAATGGAGAATGACCTGACCAGGAGAAGACTGGAGAGATCCAACTCAGCCTCCCAAATCCCCTCAGTAAGAACAATTATCACTTCACACTCACCCACCACAACTATAGCAGGATTGTTTTGGTGCTTTTTTTATATTGTATATGATATCTTATCATTATATATTAATATTTTATTATATATGATAAAAGATGTAATATGATTTAATAAATGAATATAACAATTGAAAATTAATATAGCAATTGAATAAAACATTTGTTTTGTTCATCATTTTATTACTGGGTTTTGGAGCCATAAACAAACAAACATAAACAAAATGTATTAAATCCTGCAGGAATGAGACGTTTTCTCTGCTTTAAATCTTAAACTGAGACGTTTTCTCTGCTTTAAAACTTACAGAGAGATGTTTTCTCTGCTTTAAAACTAACAGAGAGATGTTTTCTCTGCTTTAAATCTTAAACTGAGATGTTTTCTCTGCTTTAAAACTTACACAGAGATGTTTTCTCTGCTTTAAAACTTAAATTGAGACGTTTTCTCTGCCTTAAAACTTACAGAGAGATGTTTTCTCTGCTTTAAAACTTACAGAGAGATGTTTTCTCTGCTTTAAAACTTACACAGAGATGTTTTCTCTGCTTTAAAACTTAAATTGAGATGTTTTCTCTGC